GAGAGCTGGGGGGCTGGGACTTCTCTGCCCCCGATTCCCCGGTGACCCTATGGCCGACTGGAGAGCTGGGGGCTGGGCCTCCTCTGACCCCGATCCCCTAGTGACCCTATGGCCGACTGGAGAGCTGGGGGGCTGGGACTGGGCCTTCTCTGACCCCGATTCCCCGGTGACCCTATGGCCGACTGGAGAGCTGAGAGTTGGGCCTCCTCTGACCCCGATCCCCCCACTGACCCTATGGCCGACCGGAGAGCTGGGGGGCTGGGGCTGGGACTTCTCTGAACCTGATCCCCCAGTGACCCTATGGCAGACTGGAGAGCCCCTGTACCCCCCTCCCACACTGTGAACTGGGTTACCCCCTCCCCCCGGGGGTGTCTATCCGGGCTCGCTCCTCCATCCCCCCCGTCCTGACCCCGGCTCCCCCATGGGTCCCAATATCCCCCCCCCCCCCCCCCCCTGCTGGTCCCAACCCACCCCCCCCCCCCCCCCCGTTTTGGTGCAATCCAACCCCCCCCACATGTTCCCATCAGGGCGCCCCTCCCCCCATGGTTCATCGCCCTGGTACCGGGCGTGCAGGATGCTGGGGTTCATGGTGACAACGCTTGATTTGGTGCCCACGTCATCAGCAAAGTCCATGGGGGGCAGGTTGAACCTGGGTGGGGGGGAAGGTGGTGTGAGCTGGGGGCAGCCGGGGGAGCCCAGTGCCCCCCACCCCATGGGGGTCCCAGGTCTTTACCGCCCTCCATGGGCGGCGGGTATCATAGGCAGGGGTAGGCGGTGCCTCCGAAACAGCCTAGCCTGGCCCAGCCTGCCCCCAGGCCACGCCCCCTCCTCCGTTCCCAGAGCTCTGCCTTAGCCAGGGGCCAGGGTGGGGATGCTCTGGGCTCCTGTGGGGGAGGGGGGCAGAAGGGGAGGGCAGATGGGGGCGGAGGCTTGGGCACAAGGGGAAGGGCCAGGGGCTACCTTCCCCCAACAGCTGGGTCACCGTCCGCCCACGCCACCCTCCCCTGGTACTGCTCCCCCCACCCTGGCCTTTTAAATGGGTCACGGCCCCCTCGCCTCAACTGGTGACCCCCTGCCCTAAACCGCAACCCCCCCACTTGGCACCCCAATCTCCCTGAACCCCCACCCGGCACCCCACTCTCCCTGAGCCCCCCACTGCACCCCACTCACCCTGAACTCCCCCTGCACCCCACTCACCCTGAGCCCCCCACTGCATCCCACTCACCCTGAACTCCCCCTGCACCCCACTCTCCCTGCCCCCATGCCCTCATTCCCCCACTCTACACCCGCACTGCCCCCACTTCTCTACCCCTTTCCCCCTGCTCCCATCCCCCCCTCCCCGGCCGGCGTTACCTGATGACGAACTGGGCGCGGTCGATCTCAGGGCCACAGCCGCTGTTATGAAGGATCCCCCCATTCCCCACCACGGCGCAGCACTCGTAGGGGGCGCCCTGAAACGGGGAGACCTGAGGGGGAGGGGACCTGGGTCAGCACCCACCGACCATGCTGAGATGCAGCCACCTCTTGGGTGGTGCGTGGGGGGCTGTTTATAAAGTACCCCTCACCCGGTGCTGAGATGCAGCCAGCTCTGGGGTGGAGCGCCTGGCGCTGAGCCCCCGCCGCCCCCACTGCCCAGCGTCCCCTACCTGCGGCAGCATCTCCAGCAGCTCCTCCTTCACTGGATACTTCTTGGCCGGCTGGGCGTCGTAGACGATCTGGGAGCCCAGCAGGGTGTTGTTCTGGGTCAGCACCAGGTCAGCTGAAGCGTTACAGCAGCCCCGCAGCTGTTCCCTGTGCGGGGGAGAGGGGTGAGGGGCAGCTGGGGGGGGTAGTCAGAGGCAGCAGGGGGCAGAGGGCAAGGGGAGCTGGGGGGAGGACATGGAGGGGTAGAGAAGGAGGTATTTGGAACAGCATCGGGGGAGGGAGGGGGCAGAGGGGTGGGGGGAGAGGAAGCAGGGGGGTAGGGCACTGGGGGTGGGGGGTACCTGTACTGGCCCAGGGCGCTGGCGTTATGCGCCCAGGGGCAGCTCTGCACCAGCTTCATCTGCCTCAAAATCCAGCCCTGGTCCAGCCTGGGACGGAGACACAGAGAGTCACTGATCTGCCCCCCCTTCCTCCTTCACTGTGCCTCCCAAGGGGCCCTCTGGCCCCCCACTACCGACTGGCCCCCTCTGCCAGCTCCGGCCCATGCTGATGACTAACGAAATCAGCTGGGCCGTGCGGGATCATCGCAACACACAGGACTGGTCAATGGCCGGTCGCACCTGGGAAACGCTACGTGGCAGGAGGCTCGTCCTGTGAGCTTGGAAGCTGACCAAAACCACTGGAAATTTCCCATCTTCTCGGCTCTTTGAACTCAGAGGGGGCAGAGACTCTGAACGCCAGCCAGAGATCCCCAGGAGCCGCCTCCCGGGCCCGCCCTGAAAGACACTTTGAACCGACAGATCACTGCAACTCGGTCACTCTTCGGATTTAGCTGGCGTGTAGATGTTTGCTGGCTTTCACCTGCATATAACTGTCTGATTTCTTTGTCCTTGTGCCAGTTTTGTACCTCTATATTCACCCCCTTTCGCAGGACTATGATAAGTTTTGTACAAAGAATGCCTTGTGAGATATCATTTGAAAACTCATAATTTGCTGATCATTATTGTCCTGGTAAAATATAGGTGGCGACATTGCATGTAAAGTTACAGGATTCCTCTGTATGGCATTACTAAGACCTACTCCAGCCACTAACCAGTTCCCTAGAGATGAAAGTCTAGCCAACGCTTCAGCCAGATGTCAAATGGACCATCCCCATTGAAAGAGGGTCTGGATGAAAAATCAACATCTTGACTAAGGAACAGCTGGGAGTTCCCGTCCACACAGACTTGCTGTCTCCTGAACATGAGTGCCAAAGAAAAGCAGGGACTGTGAGAAAGAACAGATGTCCCCATTTCTCTCTCTTTTCTGGCATCCACAATACCTGAAGAACCGAGGAAGCAGCGTTGGGAGTGCGGGAGACGTCCCGACGGAAAGAGATTCAGAAAGACCTTGGCTTCGAATTCACACTGCTTGTTATGTTAGTTGTGGGTGACTTTCATTTTCTTGAAACCGATTCTGACTTTTATGGCTCATTATTTATAGTCACTTAAAATCAGTCCGCTGCAGTTAATAAATGTGTGTGATCGAAGCCGGTGTGTTTGGATTGAGCTGGGTGGGGAGCTCTGTTTGAGATAAGCAGATCGGTGCACCTCGTTTTCTGTTAATACACGACAGGCCGCGTACGAGCTCGTGTTCCCCAGGAGAGGGCTGGGCAGGACAAGGCACGTTTCCGGGGGATGTCTGGGACGGGGAGTTTGCTGGTTGCTCTGCAGGGCGATTCAGGAGCGGCTGGTCTCCCAGCAAAGCAGTGTGAACAGCACCCCGGATCGGAGACCTGAGGGGACACGGCTGGTCAGCGCTCCAGATCGTCCCCTGGCTAGTGAACGAAGCTTTACACTGTTTACTTCGGGATCGGCTACGGGACTTGTGTTCGGTGTCGGCTCTGGGGGTCCAGCCGATCTGGGGGCCGTGCCCGCGCTCTGGGGGCTGGACAAGGGGTGATTTTTGGTGTAAGGGCCCAGTGATCTCTAGGTCCGGTGTGTCCGGCTGGGGAGGGTCACGGGGGGGCTCCGTGGTGAGACCGGGACAGG